AGCCTCCGTGTCCATAGTTGTGCAGAATCGACGGAAACACAGGATCCCACTCCAAACGAACGTTGCCTTTACGAGCGGGCCGCAGTCCTACCAACACTTCTTCCACGTCTTCGTCTCCATAGTTACGAAGTGGAGGGTAGAACTCTGACTTTCTCAAACATTCTTCTGATTGGTGGATGATCGAGCGTGAGATTTCTGTCCCATCGGTAGGGTTGTACCATGCCACCCAACCACAGTTTGTCTTCACCTCTTGGAAGGATGAACACAAAGCTTTGTCCGTCTTTTTTGGACTCGTCAATGTCCTCGATCAGCGAGATGCACATGGAATGGTTGAGTTTGGGCATCAAGCTTCCATCATTTCTAACTTTAAGAATACAGCCTGTACGAAGAAATTGAGCACTGTTTAGAACACAATGGCATAATTTTCCGTGAGTATAACTTAGTTTCAGAAGAAAGGAACTGTAGATTTCGGCGTGACCAATTTGTTATTTTAGTGGAGAGGTTAGGATGGCAGATTGATTCAATGTTTTCACTGGCGTTACCATTCATTTATCGAGTAATAGCGCTTTATGGACACCCGCTTAATACGTTCGGACAGTTTGCTTTGTCCCGGGGAAAGAACCGGCCTTACGTTTACCCTAAACTCACCCCGATTAATACGGACACCGACTTTCTATGGCCCCCTTATTTTGGTGTCCGTATGGTTTCTTATTTCTGATATGATAAGAAAAATCATCTTAGAGCTTTCGGATGAGATTTTAACTGGTCAAAAATGCTACTTTCCGGTGCCTTCTATCAGATGACTGATATGTGCAGGTGTAGAGTACTGATCAAAGAGTGAAATCTCAAAAGAATTAGTTACCTCTCAGAGGGTAGACATCTTCGTCTCCCGCCAGTTCTTTAGCGCTGAGTCCAGAGCAGTTGAAGATCAGCTGAGCTTTGTATTTCCTTTTCAAGTCTTCTGCTTGATCTCTCAGCAGTCCTTTAATTTCATCGTGTACAAAGCGACAGCCCTTATCTTTACACTCTTTGTAAAGCCACTGCATGTATACAACCGTATCAACCATAGGAGCCATGTGCTGGTATGCGTCCACCACTCCCGTGTCTGTGTTCACCGCTAAAGGAGACACCGAAATAGTTAGCGATCAGTTAGCATTTAGGGTTTAGAATAATTGAAAAGAGAATCATCACGTTTAACTACGGAATACTTTGGTAATCCACACTATAGGAAACTATGGAGGATTTGTCTGGAAAAAGTAGAATAAAGGAGATGAAAAAAAGAAAGACGATCGCAAAATTAATGAATCAGCGGCGTCAGTGTTCAGTTAAAGACAGGTCCTAAAGTACAGCTCCTAAACAGATGATTTAATATTTTGAAGAGTCAGTGAAACTGAAACTGAAAGACTTCACACTTTTTTATAAGACTTAGACTGATAAAAAAAAAATACGAAACAGAGGAGAAACTGCTGAAAAATACGTCAGCTTGTAATTTCGGGGCGAAGAGATGTCCACTTACCGGTTTCTTCGATAAGTTTTGCGTCATGGCGAAATCCTGGCAAATGACAGAGTTCGCTCATTTTCTCCAACTGTGCTGGAAGGTCTTGCACCATGTCCTTGAAGTAGAAGACAGATTGCCTGAGGTACGCTCCAGTTTCTTTTGGTTTCATAGCCAATTCCATGAACTTTCCATAGCTGTCCATACACCACACCTTGGACCTCTCAAGTGACTTCTCATCCGTGTGCCGTCCGCACACTGCAGGAGGCCATTCCCACAAAGCACCCGCGATCTCGGAGGTGATGCATTTACCAGAAGCGACAGGTGAAGCGAACTCCTTTGCTACAACTGTAACCTTATATCCTTTTTGTAGAAGCTGTAATGCTGATGTCACACCTACAACTCCACCACCGATCACCAACACTCTGGGGATACGTGATGGCTTCTACATAAAGAACAAAAAGCGGATACAAAAGTGTTAATCATCGTATAACGTTTCAAAGGAGGGAGAGTCGTAAACGGTTGGATAGATACAAAACAACAAACCAAATAGAGTAAATGCTGCCTTCTAGCCAAGTTTGGAGTGTAAAGATTGAAAACATGGCAAAAAAACAACTTTACGCGCTGCGCTCGCTTCGGTCAAAAGTACCCCTCAGCACTGAGTAAATTATAAAATTCTGGCATTTCAGCAAAAATACGCCATCTGAACTATCGCCGGGAACCAGGTGTCCTTTTCAAATTCTCTCATCACTCATGTTATTAATTCAAAGAGAAAATAAAAGGTCTTTGTCCTTAGGTTAGAATCCTCAATTTCTTTGAGTGAGGGTATTTGAATACAAAATTTTCAAGTGAAAATGAGTTTACTTGCATGATCGAGGACATCCAATTTCAGCCATCAATGGCTCTGCACTTAACAGTGGCCGGCAGAGAACTCAGAAATCGCCGCATAAAAGTACAAGAAAATAGGCTATGAACAGCTATTAAATAAACAAGACAAGAAATATGTAGTCTCCTAAAAACTAGCGTTAAGCTCAGTTACCTTTGTAGCACGGGAATTTCTCGGGACCGACATCTCTTGAACCGTTACTGGCATTTTTGTATCTTGATTTCTTGAGTCGTTTTCTCTTCACCTTTACTTGCACAAATGGATTGAACTGTTTCTTAACAGTTTTTCCCTGATATTTATATGGTTCAGCGTTAAGTGTGACGTGACTCACTGGTGACTCTCCAAGTGATCTGTTAATCAAACCAGTCAACCGGAATATTCGCACTTTGTGGCAACCTACGTAACAAAAAATGCTGACTTGTTATGAAATATGGTGAGCACATCACGTAGATACGTTCAAAAACTCGTGAGGTGTGAGTTTTCCATGGATGGACTTTCTTTGTAAGCAAGAAGTCTAAAACGATTTCAAACTTAAATTAGAAGAAGAGTAAAGTGTTGTATGTTGAGGGTCCGTGGGAAGTTTCGAGGCCAAGACCTCTAGATCTGATCCATTTAATTTTGCCCCCGATAGGGTTGCTAGGGTCAACTAATATTGGAACGCTGGGTCAGCTGCTTTAAGTGCCTGTGAGTGTTAGCTTTTTTAACGTTTCAATTATCTCCAAATATATAACGAAAAAATCTCAAGACGCGTTGAATTTATTAAGCGTGTTGGATTTCGTTCTTATTTGGAGAACCCTCCCACTAGGCCAGTTGCAGAATTTCCGTGTGTTATTGGGTGCCTCGGCTTCCCGATCGGCTAAAAATCAAGAGACACCTTACTTTGAAGTTTGAATTTTATCTGTGATTTTCCCAAAACTTTTCTCAAAATGATTACCCCAGACGTGATTTTGGAGTAGCACAAATCCATTGATTCTTTCCTTTTAATGTCACGATTTTTGTCCTCTTTCGAATTCTCGGAAGTAGCGGAACAAAAAACCTACCCTGCGAGCAGTGGTTTCTCCAACGTCCGGCCTGGAGAAACCACTGCTCGGAGGGTACAAAAAACCAGGAACTGACGTACGATCGATAAGTAAACGTGACAAACAGAGAAACGTGAAAGTGTGATCGATGTTGTTATACTATCGCCTGCGCTGCTGGATGGGCCAACGTGACAATTAAATTTCAGAGAACAGAATAGACTACGAGTAGTCCCCCATTTTTCCTCAGGGATAGTAGAGCAAGCGAAACGCGAGCGCGCGTTAAAATCACCCATGCGAGAAAAGGCGACACGCGGCGTGTCGACTTTTCTCGCGTGGGGTGAATTTCACGCGCGCTCGCGTTTCGCTCGCTCTACTATCCCTGAGGAAAAATGGGGGACTACTCGTAGTCTAAGAACAGAATGAATGCCGGAGTGAATGACGTGAATTCATGAACTTCAGACTCCAGTTGTTCAAAAGCTTAGGTGGATAACGCCACCATGCACCGGACACTCAAGGGTACCCAACGACTGTTTTCTGTAAAATATCTGTTCGGAAAATCAAAATTGCCTATAGCTTGAGGAAGGCTAAAAATTTCTAGATGACCGTTCCATTCACTTAAAATTTTTCGACGCTTATCTAATAAATTCCCTTCGATTTTCTAAAGTTTAATTTTTCACATTTCACTCCTCAGCTGAAGCTATTTTTCGTAGTTAAAGGAAACTTAAAATTTTCGGATTCGCAAAAGCGAAGCTCTTGGGTCACTTTACATCACTTTATTCATAGTTGGGTAGTCACAATGTGGCTTTACATGCATGACAATGCAATCTAAGATCAAGTTAAAGCGTTTTGTTAAGGAATTCACGCGTTAAAGTCCACATTCGACCGCCAGGTAGCATATACGAAACGTCAAGTTCATAAAAATGCGAAAGCTGACAATGTTTGTCACCACTGTTTGTGTTTTATTTTTGATCAAGTGGGGCCAGATTTCCCTTTCCATTTCATTATAAAGATTTCTTTGACACAGACAGTAATGTTTTAGTTGAAAATGGTTCCAAGGTATCGCAGGGATTAGTGTTTCGCCGTGAATATCATGTCCCTGGCTGGTTTGAATTTGTTTCTTTGAAACCGAGGGCCGAAGAGGAAAAGAATGCGTTCCTTTTTGCCCTTTCTCCGTCCCCTGAATTTCCCTCTTTCCCGAAAAAATAGAGTCCCTGATCGCAGGTTTGTAGATCCACAACTTAGATCAAGTACATTACTCAAGTCTTCACGTCTCTAATATATTTTTGATGGGTTCTAAAGCTATTTTGTATTGTATAAAAAGGTTCGGGAAAAGGTTAACTAGTCCACAGCAATGGTCCTTGAAAGACTTGATACCACACGGAATGCCGTCCATAATGATTACCATATTGAAACGTGGTACGAAATATTGCTACTTTTTCATAGTTATATTTCCCTTGCTTTCTCAATCTAAAAATGATCAGAAATGTATTGTGTATCCCTCCCACGCAGACATTCTTTTGCAACATTACATAACCTCTCCTCTTTGCGTGCTTTGGGGAAAAAACGGATTGCGTGACGAGTGTGGCGTAGAATCAGAGCCTGATCTCTGGTTGTTACGCCATACTGACGAGCTCCAAAGAGGGTCAGTAGTTCATGTATGACCCCATGAAATGTCCTGAGGTAATGGTGCCATGTCGGGCCTCTAGGCACAGAAGTAACTGTAGTGAAGTGTAGCAAATGTAGTAGTTGTAGTAGATGTAGTAGCTGTAGTATCTGTAGTAACTGTAGTAAGTGTAGTAAGTGTAGTAGCTGTGGTAAGTGTAGTAGCTGTAGTATCTGTAGTAAGTGTAGTAGCTGTAGTAGGTGTAGTACCTGTAGTAGGTGTAGTAGCTGTAGTGAGTGTAGTAAGTGTAGTAGCTGTAGTAGGTGTAGTAAGTGTAGTAGCTGTAGTAGTTGTAGTAACTGTAGTAGCTGTAGTAAGTGTAGTAGCTGTAGTATCTGTACTAAGTGTAGTAGCTCTAGTAGCTGCAGTAAGTGTAGTAAGTGTAGTAGCTGTACTAAGTGTAGTAGCTGTAGTATCTGTAGTAAGTGTAGTAGCTGTAGTAGTTGTAGTAAGTGTAGTAGCTGTAGAAGGTGTAGTACCTGTAGTAGGTGTAGTAGCTGTAGTAGCTGTAGTAAGTGTAGTATCTGTAGTAAGTGTAGTAAGTGTAGTAGCTGTAGTAAATGTAGTAAGTGTAGTAGCTGTAGTAGTTGTAGTAAGTGTAGTAGCTGTAGTAGGTGTAGTACCTGTAGTAGGTGTAGTATCTGTAGTAAGTGTAGTAAGTGTAGTAGCTGTAGTAGCTGTAGTAGGTGTAGTATCTGTAGTAGGTGTAGCAGCTGTAGTAAGTGTAGTAGCTGTAGTAGCTGTAGTAGGTGTAGTATCTGTAGTAGGTGTAGTATCTGTAGTAAGTGTAGTAAGTGTAGTAGGTGTAGTAGCTGTAGTAGCTGTAGTAAGTGTAGTATCTGTAGTAAGTGTAGTAAGTGTAGTAGGTGTAGTAGCTGTAGTAGCTGTAGTAAGTGTAGTAGCTGCAGTAGCTGTACTAGCTGCAGTAAGTGTAGTAGCTGTAGTAAGTGTAGTATCTGTAGTAAGTGTAGTAAGTGTAGTATCTGTAGTAAGTGTAGTAGGTGTAGTAGCTGTAGTAAGTGTAGTATCTGTAGTAAGTGTAGTAGCTGTAGTAAGTAGTAGCTATAGTAGCTGTAGTAAGTGTAGTAAGTGTAGTAGATGTAGTAGCTGTAGTAAGTAGTAGCTATAGTAGCTGTAGTAAGTGTAGTAAGTGTAGTAGGTGTAGTAAGTGTGGTAAGTGTAGTATCTGTAGTAAGTGTGGTAAGTGTAGTATCTGTAGTAAGTGTGGTAAGTGTAGTATCTGTAGTAAGTGTAGTAAGTGTAGTAGCTGTAGTAAGTGTAGTAGGTGTAGTATCTGTAGTAAGTGTGGTAAGTGTAGTATCTGTAGTAAGTGTAGTAAGTGTAGTAGCTGTAGTAAGTGTAGTATCTGTAGTAAGTGTGGTAAGTGTAGTATCTGTAGTAAGTGTAGTAAGTGTAGTAGCTGTAGTAAGTGTAGTAGGTGTAGTATCTGTAGTAAGTGTGGTAAGTGTAGTATCTGTAGTAAGTGTAGTAAGTGTAGTAGCTGTAGTAAGTGTGGTAAGTGTAGTATCTGTAGTAAGTGTAGTAGGTGTAGTATCTGTAGTAAGTGTAGTAGGTGTAGTAGCTGTAGTAAGTGTAGTAAGTGTAGTATCTGTAGTAAGTGTAGTAAGTGTAGTATCTGTAGTAAGTGTAGTAGGTGTAGTAGCTGTAGTAAGTGTAGTAAGTGTAGTATCTGTAGTAAGTGTAGTAGGTGTAGTAGCTGTAGTAGCTGTAGTAAGTGTAGTATGTGTAGTAAGTGTAGTAAGTGTAGTAGATGTAGTAGCTGTAGTAAGTGTAGTATCTGTAGTAAGTGTAGTAAGTATAGTATCTGTAGTAAGTGTAGTAGGTGTAGTAGCTGTAGTAGCTGTAGTAAGTGTAGTATCTGTAGTAAGTGTAGTAAGTGTAGTAGGTGTAGTAGCTGTAGTAGCTGTAGTAAGTGTAGTAGCTGTAGTAAGTGTAGTATCTGTAGTAACTGTAGTAAGTGTATTGTGTAGTAGCTGTAGTAAGTGTAGTAAGTGTAGTATCTGTAGTAAGTGTAGTAGCTGTAGTAACTGTAGTATCTGTAGTAGGTGTAGTAAGTGTAGTAAGTGTAGTAAGTGTCGTAAGTGTAGTATCTGTAGTAAGTGTAGTAGCTGTAGTAAGTGTAGTAGCTGTAGTAAGTGTAGTAAGTGTAGTAGCTGTAGTAAGTGTAGTAAGTGTAGTATCTGTAGTAGGTGTAGTAAGTGTAGTAAGTGTACTAGGTGTAGTAAGTGTAGTAAGTGTAGTAGCTGTAGTAAGTGTAGTAAGTGTAGTAAGTGTAGTATCTGTAGTAGGTGTAGTTAGTGTAGTAAGTGTAGTGGCTGTAGTAAGTGTAGTAAGTGTAGTAAGTGTAATAGCTGTAGTAAGTGTAGTAGCTGTAGTAAGTGTAGTAAGTGTCAGTGGCGGATGCAGCCCTTCAGATAAGGGGGGGGGGGGCGGGCGGTCATCTTGACCGTCAGAGAAGGGGGGAGCCCAGTCTCCAAAAAAATTTTTTCGGCCTTTCGGGCCTCATTTTGGTCGAAGAAACAGGGGGGGCAGACCCCCCCAGGCCCCTGCCCTGGATCTGCCACTGGGTGTAATGGCTGTAGTAAGTGTAGTAGCTGTAAGAGCTGTGGTACTACACATACTACACTTACTAGAGCTACTACACTCAGCGGCGGATCTAGGGGAGGGGCCCAGGTGGCCTGCCCTGTAAAGTCAGGGACACCCAACGAGGATATAGTTCAAAACCACTTAACATAGCATTGTTGAACGTATTTTAGTATTCAAACGGTAGATATAGGCATATTTTTATCCCCTAAAAACTTTTCATCTGTTCGGATTTCCTAGCTGAAAGTCTATTGACCCGAAAATTATAGGGATAAAAACTTACCTTCTCGAAAATTTTAGCCAGGAAAAGGCTCTCGAAAATTCTAGGTGGCCTTTTTTAGGGTCAAAATCCGTTAAACATGGGTAGTTATACCATTTTGTTTATGTTCGAAAATCCTAGGAGAGGCAGGCAAGCAAGAAATTTTACAACAAATGCTCCGAAAATTCTAGATCTCAATTCGTCTTCCGAACAGATATTTTCCCGAAAATTGCCGTTGGGTGCCCCTGTAAAGTGCCGAATAGAGTCCCGTGCCAAAAAGAGTACGACGCATAAATTATGACAAATTATTAAATTCCTGAGTCGATGCGATGACAACTCATGACATGATGAGGACAAAAACCACTCAAATGAGTACAAAAATTAGACGACCCTAGATGATTGCAAGAATTAAACGCCTTAACTCTTAAAAGTAAGATTTTTTTTTATTTATTTACTTGTTTCTGTAAATACAGTTCATGACTGGTTTCAACGAACATCCATCTCATTCCGCTGATTCTTTGTAACACTTAAAGCACTACAATGACATTTGATAACATGTTCACCCGCGGTGTGCGTAAGAAGAAATTTAACACGGCATCCAACTAGGCCAAATTTTAACGTCTGTCACACATTCTCTGTTACGCCGCCGTGCTTTATGCCAAACAAAATTAAGGCTATCTCAGAATGCGTAAAATTTTAATACAAATTAATTTCTACTTTCTTATAAAGATATGGCAAATGCGAAATGTAAGTACACAGATCAGGAAAAATAATTTTTTCCTTTTTTTTCTTTATCAATTTCAGTCCAACAATTACGCAATCTTTCATAACGCGATTTACGTGCATGCCAAATGTAGTACAAGATGGAGAATGTGTCAACCCAGTTAAATTTTTATATCAAACTGATAAAAAGAAAAATGCGCGTTCTAAATTAACTTTTTTCTACGTGCGTAATAGCGCATAACGAGGTGTAACATGCTGTGACTTAACTTTCCTACCCTGCTGTTAAAAAAAACTGTGAGCTCTTTACCCTTAACATACTGCTTGCCGAATAGAGTACGAGAGAGAAAATCCTGTAAATTAACTTTTCCTACCCTGATGTAAAAAAAACTGTACGCTCTCTGCCCCTAACATACAGCGTGCCGAATAGAGTACAGGAGAGAAAATGCTGTAACTTAACTTCCCTACCCTGTAAAAAAAACTGTACGCTCTCTAACCCTAATATACAGCGTGCCGAATAGAGTACGAGAGAAAAAATGCCGTAACTTAACCGTTTCCTACCCTGATGTAAAGAAAACTGTACGCTCTCTACCCCTAACATACAGCATGCCGAACAGAGTACAACAGACTATGCTGCACCTTAACTTCCCTACCCTGATGTAAAGAAAACAGTACGCTGTTTACCCCTAACATAATGCGTGCCGAATAGAGTGCGGCAGACAAAATGCTGTAACTTAACTTCCCTACCCTGTAAAAAAAACTGTACGCTCTCTAACCCTAATATACAGCGTGCCGAATGGAGTACGAGAGAGAAAATGCCGTAACTTAACCGTTTCCTACCCTGATGTAAAGAAAACTGTACGCTCTCTACCCCTAACATACAGCGTGCCGAATAGAGTACGAGGGAGAAAATGCTGTAACTTAACTTTCCTACCCTGATGTGAGGAAAACTGTACGCTCTCAACCCCTAACATACAGCGTGCCGAATAGAGTACGAGAGGGATATTGGCCTATATTGTTGGTCAGAAACAGTGACCACTTATACGGTGACCGCTTCTTGCCAGGTGCCATATGAACATTATCAGCCTGTATCCATTCATATAGGCCGTAGGAGCGGATAGGGCGTAGTGGAAGGGAAATGGTAGAAAAGGCGGTATATCTTGGTACACAGGGCACGCTTTTAGAAAATCTCTCGCTGACTGCTTGATGCCATTGCAATGGAAGCGAAGACCAAACTTCCTTACTAAGTTATTTAAGCCAACCACCTTACAGAGTCCAGATGGAGAGGAATGAATCTCATGTAGTCGTTCACAAGCTCCTTCTTTTGAGATAAGACGCAATGTTCCGTTGTTTTCTAGGCCACTATCCTACGAAAGCCGAATTCATTAATTGCTTTGTTATTCATTCAACATAATAAAGAATGAGTAAGGAACAGCCTGAAACATCAGGTTAAAAAGTTACAACTTTTTACAAAACACGGAAATAACATCTATAACAAACCTACTTCTTTTTAAAAAGCCTAACTTGGATAAAATATAAGTCGCAATTCACGTGCGTGCTCAATAGAGTACAAGATATAGATTGATCGAACTTGACGATTTTCAGTCTCAAAACCTAAAAAATTGTGCAATGTATGTCCGATTTCTGCTGCGTGTTGTGTAGAGTTCGAAACAGAGAATGATCAAACTTGACTTCTTTCACTTTGTAAACCTAACTGAATGTACGATGTTTGTCATATTTCTGCTGGGCGCCGAATAGAGGACAAGTTAAAGAATTATCAAAATTGACTTTTTTCACTCTTAAAACCTGAAAAATCTACGATGTAAGTCACATTTTTGGAGAGTGCCGAATAGAGTACGAGATCAAGAACGCCAGGATTAAAGTGTACTATTTTTATTCTAAAAACCTGAAAAATCTACAATGTATGTTACACTTCTGCTGCTTGCCGAATAGAGTACGAGATAGAGAATGACGAAAATTAACTATTTCACTCCGCAAACCCGAAAAATGTGCGATGTATGTCACACTTCTGCTGCGTGCTGAATAGAGTACGAGATAAAGAATGATCAAAGCTGTTTTTTTTTTTCACTCTGTAAACTTGAGAAATCTACGGTGTATGTCACATTTTTGTCGCCTTCCGAATAGAGTATGAGATAAAGAATGATCCCATTTGACTATTTTCACTTTTAAAACCTGAAAAATGTATACGATCTTTGTCACATTTCTGTTTCGTGCCGAATAGAGTACGAGATAGAGACTAACCAAAGTTAACTATTTCGGAAATTAAAAAATGTACGATGTAGGTAACATTTCTGCTGCGTGCCGGATAAGTATCAGATAAACAATGATCAAACTTTACTTTTTTTACTCTGTAAACCAAAAAAAAAAAAACCGTACGATGTCAGTCACATTTAGGCTGCGTGCCGAATAGAGTACGAGACAGAGAATAACCAAAGTTAACTATTTCACTCTGCAAACCAAAAAAGTGTGCGGCGATGAATGTCACATTTCTGCTGCGTGCCGAATAGAGTATGAGCTAAAGAATGATCACATTTGACTATTTTCACTTCTAAAACCTGAAAAATGTACGATGTTTGTCACATTTCTGCTGCGTGCCGAAAAGGGTACGAGTGCTGCGTGCTGAACAGTGTACGAGATAGCGGGTGATAAAACTTTACGATTTCCACCATTAAAACCTGAAAAATGTACGATGTGTGTCACATTTCTCCTGCGTGCCTCAGTGATTAAAGTACGAGAGAATGATCAAAGTTAAGCTTTTTCCAGGAAGAAAACCTTAAAAATGAACGATATTTGTCACATTCAGCTTCGTGCCGAATAGTAAAAAATGTACCATATATAAGATATATGTCCACTGCGTGCTGTAAGTTGAGCTACCCGAATAAAACTTTGTCAAGAACCTTCGCGGGACTCTTCTCAGCCTATGTTTTTCTCTCGCAAGTACCGCATCGTCCGGTATGAGACTAACAACGAGCTACCTTCCGTTTTTCAGTATAGGTCATTTTGTGGGCGAATTTATCCGAATTCTGATTTAAACAACTTTTCATGCAAGCATTACTTCTTTAACTTCTTGAAATCTTGCATATTTCTCCTCTGAGAACAGGTTTTCTTTTTTACAAGGGATAGCGACGAGTAGGGTACTTTCTTAAGACCAATTTGTTCAGTCTCCTGGTCAACTCTTTCCCAAGTAGTCAAATTATTGTCTTTCTTGAGAGATCGAAATGCGATGATGCCCGAATGAGTGGCAGGTGTTGCGCGTATTTACCAAGTACCGAAACAGGTTCTTTCGGAACGGAAAAACAACGAAGCCTAGGCGCAGGCCCTCAAATGAACCTGACGAAGAGCAAAGCATTTTGTAGATACAGTACTCTGGGGATAGTGGCCTGGGAAACAACGGAAGATTGCGTTTTATCTCAAAAGAAGGAGCTATGGAACGACTACACGAGATTCATTTCTCTCCATCTGAACTCTGTAAGGTGGTTGGCTTAAATAACTTAGTAAGGAGGTTTGGTTCTTCGCTTCCATTGCAATGGCATCAAGCAGTCAGCGAGAGATTTTCTAAAAGCGTGCCCTGTGTACCAAGATAAACTTCCTTTTCTACCATTTCCCTTCCACTACGCCCTATCCGCTCCTACGGCCCATATGAACGGATACAGGCTGATAATGTTGATATGGCACCTGGCAAGAAGCGGTCACCGTATAAGTGGTCACTGTTTCTGACCAATATCCCTCTCGTACTCTATTCGGCACGTTGTATGTTAGGGGTAAACAGCGTACAGTTTTCCTAACATCAGGGTTGGGAAGTTAAGTTACACCATTTTCTCTCTAGTACTGTATTCGGCACACATCATGTTAGGGGTAAATAGCGTACAGTTTTCTTTACATCAGGTTAGGAATAGTTAAGTTTTACAGCATTTTCTCTCTTGTACTCTATTCGGCACGCTGTATGTTAGGGGTAGAGAGCGTACAGGTTTCCTTACATCAGGGTAGGGAATTGAATTTACAGCATTTTCTCTCTCGTACTCTATTCGGCACCCTGTATGTCAGGGGTAAAGAGCGTACAGTTTTCTTTACATCAGGGTAGGGAAGTTAAGTTACAGCATTTTCTCTCTCGTACTCTATTCGGCACCCTGTATGTTAGGGGTAAAGAGCGTACAGTTTTCTTTACATCAGGGTTGGGAAGTGAAGTTACAGCATTTTCTCTCTCGTACTCTATTCGGCACCCTGTATGTTAGGGGTAGAGAACGTACAGTTTTTTTAACATCGCTTCGCCGTATTACGCACGTAGCAGAAAAGTTAAAATTTTACGCATTCTGAGATAGCCTTAATTTTGTTTGGCATAAAGCAGAGAATGTGTGACAGACGTTAAAATTTGGCCTACTTGGATGCCGTGTTACAGTCAAACCAGGTCAAGCGTTCCCGTCGCTAACGAACTAATGAATTCATTCACGGAAAAATGATTTCGTTTGTTGATTCAATAATCCATTCATAAAATGAACAATCCAATAGTCATATTTAGCCTCGATTCCATAATCGAATGTTGATTCGATTACTGTTTTTTGAAAAATTACACTTTCCACAAGTTGACCTCAGAATTTTGTTTTTTCCTCTTTTTTTTCTGAGAGTCGAGTGCTGGCGAGTTCTGAAGTTCAAACCCAAACAAACTGTTACATGTACGCCAGTTTGCTGCCAATAATCAGTGCAACAGACCTTGGCCTGACCTTTTAGAAAACACGACGGTCAAACTGAGGTCAGTGTATGTGCGGTGATTGGTGGATTTCGATCCTCGGCCTTTGTCAGTTTCTTTGCGTTTGCGGTCTGTCTATTCTAGCTGTTATTTTGATTAAAGGCAATGAAAAACGCAATCGTAAACGGCAGGAAAAGAGAAGCAAATACGATTGAACACAACAGACAAGAATAAAGAACAGGTAGATTTTGTTCATAAACCAAATCAACATTTGATTATTGAATCGAGGTACAATTTGACCGTTGGATTATTCATTTTATGAATGGATTATTGAATCAACAAACGAAATCATTTTTCCATTGATGAATTCATTAGTTTGTTAGCGACGGGAACGCTTGACCTGGTTTGACTGTAAATTTCTTCTTACGCACACCGCGGGTGAACATGTTATCAAATGTCATTGTAGTGCTTTAAGCGTTACAAAGAATCAGGGGAATAGGATGGATGTTCGTTGAAACCAGTCACGAACTGTATTTACGGAAACAAGAAACAAAACGTCTTACTTTAAAGAGTTAAGGCGTTTAATTCTTGCAATCATCTAGGGTTGTCTAATTTTTTTACTCATTTGAGTGGTTTCCGTCCTCATCATGTCATGAGTTGTCATCGCATCGACTCAGGAATTTAATAATTTCTCATAATTTATGCGTCGTACTCTTTTTGGTACGGTACTCTATTCGGCAGTTTACATGTCCCCCCGTTATTTTTCGACCAAAATGAGGCCCCAAGGGCCAAAAAAATTTTTTTGAAGAGTGCCCCCCCTTATCTCAGGGTCTGGATGACTCCCCCCCCTTAACTGAAGGCCTGGATCCGCCACTGACACTTACTACACTTACTACAGCTACTACACTTACTACAGCTACTACACTTAATACACTTACTACAGCTACTACACTTACTACACTTACTACACCTACTACACTTACTACAGCTACTACACTTACTACAGCTACTACACTTACTACACTTACTACAGATACTACACTTACTACACTTACTACAGCTACTACACTTACTACAGCTACTACACTTACTACAGCTACTACACCTACTACACTTACTACAGCTACTACACTTACTACAGCTACTACACTTACTACACTTACTACAGCTACTACACTTACTACAGCTACTACACTTACTACACTTACTACAGATACTACACTTACTACACCTACTACAGATACTACACTTACTACACTTACTACAGCTACTACACTTACTACACCTACTACAGATACTACACTTACTACACTTACTACAGCTACTACACTTACTACAGCTACTACACTTACTACACTTACTACCCTTACTACAGCTACTACACTTACTACACTTACTACACCTACTACAGCTACTACACTTACTACAGCTACTACACTTACTACAGCTACTACAGCTACTACACTTACTACACCTACTACACTTACTACACTTACTACAGCTACTACACTTACTACACCTACTACAGATACTACACTTACTACAGCTACTACACCTACTACACTTACTACACTTACTACACCTACTACAGATACTACACTTACTACACATACTACAGCTACTACAGATACTACACTTACTACAGCTACTACACCTACTACACCTACTACACTTACTACACCTACTACAGATACTACACTTACTACACATACTACAGCTACTACACTTACTACAGCTACTACAGCTACTACACTTATTACACTTTCTACAGCTACTACGCTTACTACAGATGCTACACTTACTACACTTACTACCGATACTACAGATACTACACTTACTACACTTACTACAGATACTACAGATACTACACTTACTACACTTACTACAGCTACTACGCCTACTACACTTACTACAAGATACTACACTTACTACACTTACCACACTTACTACAGATACTACACTTACTACACTTGCTACAGCTACTACACTTACTACAGATACTACACTTACTACACTTACTACAGATACTACACTTACTACACTTACTACAGCTACTACACTTACTACACTTACTACACTTACTACAGATACTACAGATACTACACTTACTACAGCTACTACACCTACTACACTTACTACAGATACTACACTTACTACACTTACTACAGATACTACAGATACACTTACTACACTTACTACAGCTTACTACTACCTACTACAGCTACTACACTTACTACACTTACTACACACTTACTACAGATACTACACCTACTACACTTACTACACCTACTACAGCACTACACCTACTACTTACACTACTACATACTACAGCTACTACACCTACTTACTACAGCTACTACAGATACTACACTTACTACACTATACTACTACACCTACTACACTACTACACTTACTACACTACTACACCTACTACAGATACTACAGATACTACACTTACTACACTTACTACAGACTTACTTACTACACCTACTACACTTACTACTACACTTACTACACTTACTACACCTACTACACTTACTACACCTACTACAGATACTACACTTACTACAGATACTACAGATACTACACTTACTACAGCTACTACAGCTACTACAGATTACTACAGATACTACACTTACTACACTTACTACACTTACTACAGATACTACACTTACTACAGCTACTACACTTACTACACTTACTACAGATACTACACTTACTACAGCTACTACACTTACTACACTTACTACAGCTACTACACTTACTACAGATACTACAGATACTACACTTACTACACTTACTACAGATACTACAGATACTACAGATACTACACTTACTACACTTACTACAGCTAGTACACTTACTACACTTACTACAGCTACTACATTTACTACACTTACTACACTTACTACAGCTACTACACTTACTACAGATACTACAGATACTACACTTACTACACTTACTACAGATACTACACTTACTACAGATACTACACACTTACTACACTTACTACACCTACTACAGATGCTACTACAGACTACTACACTTACTACACTTACTACAGATACTACACTTACTACAGCTACTACTGGCTTACTACACTTACTACACTACTACACTTACTACAGATACTACAGATACTACACTTACTACAGCTACTACACTACTACAGATACTACACCTACTACAGATACTACACTTACTACAGCTACTACAGATACTACACTTACTACAGATACTACACTTACTACAGCTACTACACTTACTACAGATACTTACTACAGATACTACACTTACTACAGATACTACAGCTACTACACTTACTACACTTACTACAGCTACTACAGATACACTACACTACATACTACACTTACTACAGATACTACACTTACTACACTTACTACAGATACTACACTACTACACTTACTACACAGATACTACAGCTACTACACTTACTACAGATACTACAGCTACTACACTTTACACACTACTACAGCTACTACATTTACTACACTTACTACAGCTACTACACTTACTACAGCTACTACACTTACTACACTTACTACAGATACTACAGATACTACAGATACTACTACACTTACTACACTTACTACAGATACTACAGATACTTACTACACTTACTACACTTACTACAGCTACTACACTTACTACACTTGCTACACCTAGCTACTACACTTACTACAGCTACTACAGCTACTAGACCTACTACATTTACTACACTTACTACAGATACTACAGCTACTACAGCTTCTACACTTACTACACCTACTACAGCTACTACACTTACTACACTTACTACAACTACTACACTTACTACAGCTACTACAGATACTACACTTACTACAGCTGCTACGCTTACTACAGATGCTACACTTACTACAGCTACTACAGCTACTACACTTACTACAGTTACTACACTTACTACACTTGGTAAATTCATTACACTCACTACACTTGTTACTTTCTGTGCCTAGAGGCCCGGCATGGCACCATTACCTCAGGACATTTCATGGGGTCATACATGAACTACTAACCCCAAAGAGGGCGAAACAGCTGTCTGTGCCTACAATCCCGCTCTGTTTTGGGTTCTTTCGGTATCGTGTTGATGTCTTGCAGAGTTGATTTTCACGTAGTACGATCAGCATTGCAGTATTTTGCTTGCAGAATTTAACATGTCTACATTATTATTTTTGCTGATCAGGTCTTTATAGATCCTACGTTCTTTGGTATATTCGTTTGTGTTCCTTTGCAGTCCCTTGTGGTTAATCTTTGTACTGGTAATTATCAACTTTATTAAGCAACCTCGTCCCCAGGGCTTTTTAAGGGAAAAGCCCTGGGGACCAGGTTGCTTTATTAAGATATTTAAAGTCATACGTGAATCCAGGCGAAACGTGTCCGCTCTATTTCCGATGGGCGAGCGCGCGTCAATGGCGAGGGAAGTTTAGCCTTATGAACCCCGGCTTGCACTCGAAATTGAAACCACAGACTGAAATGGTCAATTCTTTGATCGGCAAAAATTTTGACGTTGGAGGCTTCCCCTTTATTTCATGACATTTATAATTTTGGCTAAAGATGTTGTAACATTTGGGAGCTTTAACAGCATCGACGGCGACGGACAAGAGAACGACAAAAAATCAGTACGTTTAGGTTAGCAAAACAACTTAAGAGGAAATCCATTAGGAAATTGAGTAATTTTAATTTTTAGTGGACAAAAACCTTGTGCCAGAATAATTTCAAACATATTGTCCATATTGCATTCTTTTTCACACTTTTCGAGGGCTATAAATGTAATAAGTTGTATGAAATAACTCCAAAAACAGCAAAAAAAGGGTTCTTATTGGAGCCCGAGAAAACAAACTTTAAAAGCTTCAAATTTCACTACATAAAATATTACGCTTGACAATTCCTGAATTCCTGTGAGATTAGAATTTATTTTCTCGGGCTCCCGTAAGAAATTGTCTTTGGTGTTATTATCAGATAACTAATTACATCTATAGCCCTTGAAAAGTGTAAAAAAGAATACAATATGGCTTAAAGTATTCTGGTACAAGGGTTTTGTCCACTGAGAATTAAAATTACTCAATATCCTAATGGATTCCGTCTTAACACGTGGATGATGCTTTTTAAGTGACGTGTTCGCTGCTGTCACCGTCGTGGTTGCTTAAAAGGGACCTGACGATCCGACAACGGCGACGTCCATGAAAACGTCACTAAAAAATAGACTTCGCATCCTTTCACTTTTTTTCGGAGTTATTCCAAGGATCAACTGATCAACTGATCCTGATCAATTTATAACTCCGCCTGTGACTATCCACGAAATTTTCTAGTTCAAAATATTGAAACATCACGCTCGCTGATTTTGCCGCTACTCATAACCGATTTTAGATGCAATCCTAACTTTACCGTATCTTTCTCTTATGAACTAAGTTTACAAAAAGAGGCGAAATTAAGAGATTAACAGCTCATGAAATTTTGTTGAAACCAACGGAAAAGTGGAAAAGGAAACGGCGGATTGTACACGAGAGCTCTCCACCAAATTAAGCCGCGTAAATATTAACTGGGGTCTACCAAATGCTTTTACAGATACTACAATTGCTGTAAGAAAGTAACCCAATCCTTGCCTTTTTTGGTCCAGTTTTGCGTAAACTAAATTGAAAAAGGGCAGAAAGTGTAAAAGCTAGCCTAACACTCCTATGAATTAGATAACCCCCAAAGAAGTGTGAAATGTGGGATAAGAATAGAGTATAAACAAAGTCAAGTCATTGAAAGTCGGTGAAACGTCTCATTTACAATATAAGCAGATTTATTTCATTAATTTAAAAATATTCACAGTGCAAGAAAAGCACCGTTATGTAATATAAATACGCAAATAAATCTCTCATACAACTGTTATCGTTTTAAATCCCTCTTTTGTTAATTTTTTACGAATATTTTTGTCCATATATTAAATAATGTTCTTCTTTCTTTATTTTTTTTCGAACAACAGTTCTATATATTAACGGTATCATATTTTTTTCTTATTAAATACGCGTAAAAAATAAAAATCTCGGACACAATATGTGCCTTATAACTATATAAATATGCGGGCTAGAGAAACGAATTCAGAGCTTAGAAACATGAATCTGTGGTCTCTTGAGAACACGATCCACCATGGCACTAGCTTCTATAGCACATCCCCAGGAGAAAGTCACACCCGAGCCTCCGTGTCCATAGTTGTGCAGAATCGACGGACACACAGGATCCCACTCCAGACGAACGTTACCTTTACGAGCGGGCCGCAGTCCTACCAACACTTCTTCCACATCTTCGTCTCCATAGTTACGAAGTGGAGGGTAGAACTCTTTGACTTTCTCAAACATTCTTCTGATTGGTGGATAATCGAGCGTGAGATTTCTGTCCCATTGGTAGGGTTGTACCATGCCACCCAACCACAGTTTGTCTTCACCTCTTGGAAGGATGAATACAAAGCTTTGTCCGTCTTTTTTGGACTCGTCAATGTCCTCGATCAGTGAGATGCACATGGAATGGTTGAGTTTGGGCATCAAGCTTCCATCATTTCTAACTTTAAGAATACAGCCTGAAAGAAGAAATTGAGCACTGGTTAGAACGCAATGGCATAATTTTCCGT